TTCCTAAAATATCTTTGAATGTGAAAGGAAGTAGAAATGGTCACTATCAGGGAGGGTTGGCTCTGGAAGTATTTTATCCCATAAGGGTCATGGGAGCCCTTTTCCAGAAGAAACAGGACTTCCTCTCACCATGCCCTCTCCTAGGGTCTCCCAGGGCCAGTTGTGGTAGCTGCTGGCTTCCTGACAAGCATTTGATTGGCATAGCCAAGCCTTCTGGGCCTCAGGTTCTCAACCAGTGCCCTTGTGGGCTTGAAGTTGCAGCATTAGTCTGGTTTCTACTTTTGAGGAGACATTTCAAATGTTCCTATGACTGAGAATATTTAGTTTCTCTTTCTAAGCATCTTGATTCATTATAGGTTTACTCTCCCCTACGTTGTTAACTTTCTGGTGAGCTTGCACTGCAACGGCAGAGCAGGTAGATAGGGAATGTGTAAGTCTGGTGACTAGGGACAAGTTGGCATCCTAACTGTGGGTTTTGTTTTCTCTGCAGGAGATAAATGGCATCACTGCAGCACTGGCCGAGGAGCTCTTTGAAAAAGGTATGTGACTGTGGGTCCTCAAAATACTGGGTACAACTTGCCCAGCACTATTACGGGCCTGGGACCCTATACTGTGCTAGGGGCCTGTGGCCCTATACTGTGCTAGCATCTTTGGCCTCACCTAACTCAAGATGTCTGCATCTTGGAGTTTGCAGTGTAGATCTGTTGCCCACAGTATTGCCTTACATCAGCTTTATCCTGGCTCAGTGCCTCAGATTTTGGCTTCCCAGCTACACGTTCCCCTGGCCCTTCCCTCCTTTGTAATCACGTGTCCTGGGTGTGCCCTGTGCCCACCATGAGCTCAGCAGGGCACTATCTTCTCCATACTCAGGACTGTGGCTTTGTCCTGATGCAGTGTGGTGCACATAATGGATACTTGCCAGGAACTTGTTAACAGCCAAGTGGGTAGACACCCTGGCCACTTGATGGGGACAGGGCTGGGGCTGGATGCTTACTCTGTAGGGCATGGCTTTTGCAGGTGAACAGCTTCTGGTGGCTGGTGAGGTCTTTGCCATTGGGCCTCTACAGCTCTATGCTGTCACCGAGCAGCTGCAGCAGGGAAAGCCCACATGTGCCAGTGGGGATGCCAAGACTGACCTCGGACACATTCTGGACTTCACGTGTCGCCTTAAGTACCTTAAGGTAAAGCTGCAGCAGCTCAGTTGTGGGTGTGATGGGCATACAGCCAGTGTAGGACCTAACAGCTCACTGGCTGGCAGTTCATGTGAAGGAGGCTGGCTGTATGGGCCATCCAGGGAAGGAAGGCCACCTTTTGGGTTCTTGGCACTGTGCTGCTGACTGTGAGCTCCAGGGGGCAGTCGTGATCCAGTGTCCCTTGCTTTCAACCTTGGCTTTAGCCTGCTTTGTTGACTGTGGAAGTGTTGAGCAGGATGCCTGCCCACTCTGCCTCACATAGCCAGGCAGAGCTTCAAGTCGGGTGTGGCAGTTGCTGTAGCCCTGCCCTGTGAACATGGATGGGTAGCGATTGTGGCAGCATCCCTAATTCAAACTGCATCTTTGATTGCAGGTTTCTGGCACAGAAGGACCTTTTGGGACCAGCAACATTCAGGAGCATCTCCTGCCTTTTGATCTGTCAATATTTAAGTCACTTCATCAGGTGGAGGTAAGGCCCAGGGCCCCTGAAGTACAGATAGAGCTGAGTCCTGCATATGTATCATCTTGCTTGTGACTGTATGTGGCTAGGGAGTGTTTTTGATGTTGGGTGTCTGGACTTAATTGTAAGGCACTATTACTTTTCATGTTTTCAGTATGTGGCAGATTCCATCTAGGTAAGTAAGGCCAACCTGAAAGCAGAGAAAGAGAGACTTCTGCTGCTCTTTGCTGGTCTGCATGTCTCCGCCCCTGGCATGGGCAGCATTTGGACAGGATGAGGCAGCATTTGGACAGGATGGAGCACCAGTGTCCAGCTCCTTCTGGGCTTCCTCATTCAGGTTGAAGTGCTGAGAAGTCATTCTGAGGGTCAGGCAGAGCCAGTTCCAAGTCTGTTTCCCAAGGCAGTTCAGCAATGAGCTTTGAGGGTTCCTTGCCCTCTGGCATGCCCATACCTAGCAGGAAATACTTTGCATTGCTCACTACTGAACTCCTGGATTTGTGATGCCAATTTTGTTACCATTTTTAAAATGAAAGGAGACTCAGTAACAAATAATAAAAAATGTATTAAAGCATCTATTTCTCGAGCATGGCTTTCATGTTCAGCCCTGTGCCCCATGTCTAATGTACACTCCTTGATGGACTCTTCCTAACAGCCCTGTGAGGTGGGCACTTTTATTCCCGTTTTATAATTGAGGAAACTGAAGCTTAGAGAGATAAGGAGGTTTGGCTAGGACCAAACGATTAATGAAGGGAAAGCTGGGATCTGAGTTTAGCTGAGCCTAACTCCAAAGCCCCTGCCACCCATTGGACTATTCTGCCTGCAACATTCTGTGTTCATCTCAGAGACCTGGAGGACTGCTTTCCTTGGTGGGAACTTGTGGAGTGTGCTTCAACCAATGCAGGCTGAGTGAAGACTAGGAAGTTGATGGAGTGCCCGGCTCAGCCTTGCCCTGCCCTGGCTCAGAAGGCTAAGGCTCTGCCACTGGGCTCTGTGGGTCTGGCACTCAGGCAGGTGGCTCAGGGGAATGCGCTTTGGCTACACTACCTTCTTCTTACTCAACACAGCCGAGACTGGGAAGTGAGCGTGGTGAGCAGGAGGGCCCACCATGCTCACTGTGCTGCAGAGGCCCCTTGCTCTCAGCTCTGGTCCCTGGCCCACACTTTCTGTCCACTGGCCAAGCCCCAAGCAGTCCTTACAGAGAAAATGGAGTTTGTGGTTTATTGTGGGTCTTACCAGATAACTTCAAAGACTGTTTACTCAGCACTAAAAATTGAAGAAAAGAGAGACTTAAGATTTGAGTTATCTCCTGCTTCTAAGGATTTGGGTTCACTGGTGAATGCGCTCCTTTTGTGTGTGAGTAAGAAACATCCACCTCCTGGGACTTCTGATGGAACAATGGTGCAATTACTATTTCTTTTTCCAGATAAGTCACTGTGATGCCAAGCACATCCGGGGGCTGGTTGTGTCGAAGCCCACCTTAGCCACAATGAGTGTCCGCTTCTCAGCAACCTTGATGAAGGTGAGTGCCACCTGTTTCTCCTTTGGGAACTGTCTGCAGGGTAGGGTCTTGTACTTTGGTACTCCTCACCAAGGGTAGGTGTGAACACTGCCACTGTCAGAAACCAGAAGCTGGACCTTCCCCTGGGCCTGAGCAGCCACACACTCACTTGGGATTTCCCAGCACTTAGCCGCCCCAGGACACTTTAGTCCTCATCTTCATTAAAAATCACATTGTTAAGCAAGCTATTTTAAGGAACTGAGTACCCCCACTCCTCCCACCCCTCAAAAAAAATCACTGGTTTTGGACGAGCAAATTGTTAAGCAGTAGCAAGTAGCAGGACATTTATTAGATTGATATAAATGTTTCTCTGAGCTTAAAAAGCTCTGGCTTAGCTCTTGTTTGTGTCCTGTTTTTAGTGGACTTGAAGGAGACAAGTTAGGCCTTGTTATTTGTATGTGAGCATCAGAAATACTCGATTTGAGAATGTAAGAGGTTCCTGTTTACCTTTTTATGGAATGCATCTTAGTAATGTTAAAATTCTTCTCCAGAAAAGGCACAGTGGCTACTTTTATGACTTAGACTGTCTAATCAAGATTTGAGTTTGGTAGAATTTGAGGCTTACTGGCTAAAAGAAGGAGGCTTGTGTCAAGAGCAAGGGTGTCAGACAACCTTGCCCCTCTTGGAGCAAGAGGCATTCTCTGCTGCCCGGCTCACAGGGCCCAAAATGATTGATTGAGAGAGGAGAGGTCTTGTGGGCATGAAAAGTCAAAATAAGGAGGCCTCCTTCCCTCCCCTTTAATGATGTCCTTGCACTCCATGCTGCTACCCTTTTCTCAGCATTGTTGGGTTTGAGCCCTGTGATATAACAGTTAAAGGGGCCTGCTGCCCACAGTGGGGACCACAATGTCACCTTGAAAAGCACAACTGCCTGGAAACACCATGAATTCTGACCTTTAGCCTCTGAGATTTAAGCCAAAAAAGGCATCACTACATAGCAAAAGGCTCTTGTGGGCTTGAAAAGCATTTGCTCCTGAAGCGGGGCTAGAATATATTCCAAGTAGCTGTTATGTTGCTAAGCTTTTCAGTTATTTCACAATCGTTTAAAGACATATGAACCAAAGCCCAATTTTAATGCAAGTTCACTTCCACATGCTAAATATGCTCAAGCCCTTCCTGAAATTGTGCAATGATAGCGTTCCCAGTGAATGTTGCGTGAGGGCCCAAGTGTAGCTCAACAGATGTTCTTACACAGGAAGTCCTCGTTCCTGAAGCCTCAGAATTTGATGAGTGGGAGCCAGAAGGCACAGCCCTGGAAGGCCCTGTGACTGCGATCATCCCCACTTGGCAAGCTCTGACCACCTTAGACCTGAGCCACAACAGCATCTCTGAGATCGACGAGTCTGTGGTACGTTCTCAGCAGCAGGCACTAGGGTCTTCTCTGGCTTGACTGAACCCTGAGATTGGGTATTTAACTTGGCTTTTTCTGGAAGACCACAGAAAATCTGTGTTCTGTGCATTGCCTGTAATTTTTAAATTCAAAATAAGTGAAATAGAATTTAGAACCAAATGAGGCATATTAATTGCACGTATATTTGAAATAAAAATACAGTGAGTGATGACATTTATTCCCAAAGAGTGGAATGCAAAAATCATTCCTCAGCTTCCAGATGTGCCCATGTAAGAGTGACATCCAGGTGGCATTTGGAAAATAGGAGTGACTCCTGTATTTTTGCTTTTCAATGGGTAGTGTTGGAGAAGGATGGACAGACATTTTTCTCTGGAACCTTGCCATTTGTCATTTCATAAGCTGAGTGCTCTATAAAAACGGAGACGTGCTCATCACTGGAGTCCCTGTGTGGTCCTGTGGACATACTGCTGAGTGGGCACTGGGAGGAGTCACGTCAATGGCCCTGCAGAGACAGCCATCCCAATAATCCATGGTTGGAAGAGTCTCAGGGTGTCTGTCTGCCATGTACAGGGGTTATACAGGGTCCAGTCTCCTAGAGTGACATTGGTTGGGTGTTGTCCTTTTTTTTTTCCACAAGAAACTGATTCCAAAGATTGAGTTCCTGGACCTGAGTCACAATGGAGTGCTAGTAGTGGACAACCTGCAGGTAATTAATGTCTTTGGAGATCATTGCCACATGTGGGTTTCTTAGAAGGTCCCTGAGAGTTCAGAAGGCTGGTGCAGCCTTGGTAGTTTGACCATACCCGGGGTTTTCTGTCACAGGTACTTGAAAGGTGTCTGGGTGCACCAGAGGTTCATAGGGGCAGGGGCTGCTGCTCTCCATGTAGGGTTTCAGTGATGCACTGAGCAATTGTTGCTGTAGTTCCCCAGAATTAGAAAAGATGAATAAGTACAAGTAGAGTGAGATGACCATAATCCACCTCCATCGTGATGACGAACAACCTCATTTTCAAAGCCCACACCTACCCTGTGGTTGTGCTGCCTCTGCAGAGGGTGCCAGTGGGCTGTGGCATGTGCAGGGGGAAAGAGGGGTTCTCTTCCAAATAACAGCCTACAGAACTGGTCATTTTAGGTTGGAAGGCCCATCACACCTTTAGTGTTAGTCTCCTTTCTTTGGAGCCTTGACCTGAACCAGTTAACCCTGTTCTCAATGCTGCCACAGCACCTGTACAACCTTGTGCACCTGGATCTGTCCTACAACAAGCTCTCCTCCTTGGAGGGGGTTCACACCAAACTGGGGAACATCAAAACTCTGAACCTGGCAGGCAACCTCCTGGAGAGTCTGAGTGGTCTGCACAAGCTCTACTCCTTGGTCAACCTGGATCTCAGCAATAACAGAATCGAACAGGTGAGCCACGTCCCAAGAGGATCTCAGAGTTCTGAGATGGCAGGGCCTTGGTGTTTATCACTTTAAAGAAGAATGGTGAAGGTTTTTTTTTTTTTTCATCTAGAAGAGACCATCAAATGTGTTGTCATGTTGCCAAAGTGTTAAAAGAAGGGATGAGGGGAATGAAATTTGCTTTGCAGATGGAGGAGGTCAGGAGCATAGGCAGCCTCCCATGTCTGGAGCACGTGGTTCTGCTGAACAACCCTCTGAGCATCATCCCTGACTACCGAACCAAAGTGCTGGCTCAGTTCGGAGAGAGGGCCTCTGAGGTAGGCTGCTAGGGTTGGGGGTGGGGTGGGGATTAGCTCCATCTAAGAAATAGTCTGGACAGAGTCCACATTTTCACAGGTAGAGCCGGGGGTAATGTCCCCACCCTGAAGAGCCTTTCAGTTCTGGGAAGTCTGCCTCCCCAGGAAAAAGCTCCCTCACCCCTTCTGCAACCCCTCCTGTCAGCGGCCACGGACTACCGTAGTTCCCCAGCAGGCTTCCCTCGTGACACTTCTTTCAGAGCTTCATGCCAAGAGGGCTCCCCACAAGCCTACAGGCACAGACTGAGTGTGGAGGGACTCTCTTCAGCTTCTTAAATAGTAACATTGATTATTGTAGGCAAGGGTCAGAAATAAGATATTTGAAATGATCATGTTCCCTAGACAACTTCTGGCCATGAAGTCTGGCTATAAACCCAATGTGCCCACCTTTACCAGTATAACCCAGCCAGTATCTACTGCCTGCTAATTGTATCTCGTCACCTACCACCATGCCAACCAAACAGGTCCTTCGCCAGGTTCAGCTGTCTACTCAGCCTCAAGCAGGCCCTTCCCCTACTCTCCCAAATCTCAGACCAGAAGATACCTAGAAATCTGCATTCTTCCCTCACCCTGCCCTCCCCTCCACCCAAGCCTTCCATCTCTTTTTGTCCCCAAGTGCCCCTTCCTCCATAGTCACCAAGACAATGTTCACAAGATGACACCTTCCCTCCCTGGCTCTAGGCTCTTGGGACCTTCCTTCATTTGACTGCACTGCTTGGTCCCACACTGCCTGCCAGCCCACAACTCCTCCTGCATTTGTAGATAGAGGTGCCTGCTTCCCATGCCTTTGCCCTCCCAGTTCCCCAGCCCAGAAGGCCTTCTCCATGCTCTTTACTAATCTGAGTTCTGCTGTAATTGGGAGCTTTGTTCAAGTCACTGCCTTACCCCAATCTCAGCTACCCAAGAGGCCTCCTCAATTGACCTTGTACTCCTGCCTCATCAGAAACAAACTAGGCAGTTTGAGACTTCCCCGGGCCACCTAAGGAGCTCCCAGGTCACTTTATGTGTGGTGAGGAAGTCACCTCCCAGTGGGCTGAGCCTCACAGGGCCTGACCCACACTTTGACAGGACTCCCACCATTGTATTCTTACTATGCTTGTCAGCCCCTAGGCTGAGAGCCATTTCTGGACTCTGCAGGTCTGTCTGGACAACACAATGACCACAGAGAAGGAGCTGGACACTGTGGAAGTGCTAAAAGCCATTCAGAAAGCCAAGGAGGTCAAGTCCAAACTGAGCAATCCTGAGAAGAAGGTGGGTCTTTGTGTGGGAGGTAAGAGCAATGTCACTCAGTGGAACTGGGTCGTGGAAGTACTAGGGACCATTAAGTGAGTCCTGGCTGCATGGCCTTGGGCAAGTCACACCTCTCTTCTCATCTGTAAGATGGGAGGGGTGATAGAACCTACCACATGGGGTTACTGAGGGTTAGGTGAGACCGACTTCTCTATCACCAATGTTTATGAGAACCTTTTGAGTTTCTCCTCCTCACCCCTGGCTTTTAGAGTTCTGTTCTTCCTGAGCCTTCTTTTCTCTCTCGGGCTGACTCAAGCACTCCTCCTAGGTCAGTGAGGATTGCCGGCTCTCAGCTGCTCCCTGTGTCAGACCCAGCAGCTCCCCTCCCACCGTGGCTCCCAGCTCCACCTCTCTGCCCCAGCCTATCCTCTCCAACCAAGGTAATCATGTATGTAGCCTTCTGCCTAGCAGAGCCAAACAGGCCCTGCTGGGCCCCCTGGTTGGGCTGGAGTTGGGGGGAGATGTTGGCACCTGCTCCTCGCAGGGTTCAGTCACAGGGAGGGTGCAGTGCTGTCTGCAGGCCAGCTCCCCTCAGAGTGGCACGTGGTAGGGGTGCCTGGCCTGATTTCAGCTGTTGTTGCTTAGTGAGGACCACTCCCCCATTGCTCTGATACCCAAACCCATCTCCTCTAGGATACCACAAGGTGTCTAATGGGGCCCTGAGGCTGCTCTTTGAACAGGCTCGGGGCTGCTGGCTCATAAAGACCCTGCTCCCCTGCAGGCAGTGTGGGCGAATTGGCTCCTTGTTAATGGGAAGCCAGGCCTTGACACTTTCCTGAGTTGGCCGCCCTGATCCCTGTGTGGGAAGCTTTCTTTAATCGTTGCCTCATCTCTGCGGCTCAGCCCTAAACATATGGGGCCTAGACAGGCTGTCCACGAACCCATGGAAGACCAGTCCCTTTCACCTGCCCACTGTCTTAGCGTTTTCAAAGGGTTTTCACCTCTGAACCCAGGCATCCTCGGAGATGAGTGAGTGAAGCAGGTCCCATGAGAGTGTCTGCTGGCCTGGCCCCCACGGAAGAGGGGAGGGTGTGCCATCCCGAGTGGAGCCGAGGCTCGGGACACACAGGAAGGAACGCCGCCCGCCCACCCGGGCTCCTGGAGACGCAGAACTTGGTGTGAGGTCTTGGGAAAACAGTTTGACCTTATGTTTCAAGAGCCAGAAAAACGTTTGCACCCCTTGACCTGGTAACCCCTCTGGTGGGGATTTTATCTTGGTGGGATAAGATAAGGGAAGGGGACACGAAATGCTCACTGCAGCATAATTTATGCTATCGAAGCGGGGAATATGACAAATGTCAGAGGATGAGAGGGAGATTAAGCTGTGGTGCAAAATACACTGCAGCCATCACATTAGAGAGGGGAAGACTGGGTAGGACGAAGAGAGAAGCGCTTGGGTAAATGAGAAAGCCTGCTGCAGGGCAGTGCACCAAGGTCACAGCTGTGAAATGTGGGAGAGCGCTCTTGAGAAGGGATGGTGATGTTGGCTGCCAGAGTGATTGTCAATTTACTTTTGTAACTCCCTTGACTGAGAAATTTTGGTTTTATTTTTATATATAAAAGGGGCGGGGGCCGGGGCGTATATCACTGTGAAGATGCCTCCCTGACCTCATCTCCTGCCTCAGGGTCAAAGCCCTCTTCAGGCCTCACACCCATGCTGCCCAATCACAGCACGGCAGGAATTGCTTGACTCGGGTTCTAGGGACAGGGAGCTGCGACTGGTCCTCGAGGCCAGGGTCCAGTCGGTGCTCAGTCAGCCTTTGTGGAATTGACGAACGATTATCTGACTGAGCGAGCAAGTGGAGAACAAGCTGGTAAAGAGAGGACTTCCAGTGGGGTGAGAGAGGCATCTGCCTCCAGAGCCGCAGCTGCAGGCAGCCACCCCCACCCCCCTTTGCTGGTGAAGCCTCTGTACCAGCCAGGCCCAGGCCTCAGCCCCGCTTCCTCACTGACCCCCTCTCCTGGAGACACACCACCGAGTGACTCACTGTAGTGAGTTTCCCCCTTTCCCAGATGCTGGACATTTAGACTTTGTCTCCACGTTTGCACCACTTATAAATAAAACTGCAGTGGATGTCTGTGTGCACACCTCTTTCCTTTTTGTGAGAAACAAAGGACGGGCCCCCATCTGAGCAGTCTCCTGATGATCCCTGTCCCATCCTCTGAATGGCCCTTTCTGACCACTTATTTTGTACAAACTGTGGTCCAGGAAGGAAGCAGAGAGACTATCCCAATCCTCATTTCCTCAGCTCCAAAAAGGGCTGGGGTGGGGGGGTAGTGGCAAGAAAATGTTGCTTTTTTTTCTCACTAAATGGAGGAGTCTACAGCTGTTCGTGTTCAGCTATGTACTGCTTTATCTTGCCTGAATGGGTAAAGATTTCTCGTGTGGGAGCAGCTTTGCTCCCAGTCTGATTCCCTAGAAATGAACATACTTGTGAATAAACTGGGTACTCAGGGGCCCGCTTGAAGGGATGCTATCCAGTAAACACCAGGCCTCTTGTCATCTCAGGAGCTGTTAGCCAGCTTGTTGGAGTCATGAAGAATTGTGACCAATAGGGGCTGACATACGAAATGCTAGGGTTGGTTCTTTAGGCAGGGCGCGGAGCTGAGAGGAAGCCATAGAGAAGTTGTTAGGAGCAGGCACCTAGGGATCAGTCAGCTGAGTTTGCATCCCAACTTGGCCATGTTCCCTCAAGCAATTCGTAGCCTCTCTGAAGCTATTTTCTCAACTTGAGTGTATACACCCTACTTCATCAATTCTAAGATGCACACAGTTCCACCTTGTGACTTCTCTGAAATTGAGATGCATCTTTCAGTCAGTGGTGTCTCATAGTTGCCGTCAGCCAACTGATATTCGTGATGGAGTCGTGTGAAAACCTTCCTTGGACACCTGCTAAGACCAAGATGGCACCACATCTACGCATCTTAGATTCGATGAACTGTGGTAAATAAGAGGCATGTGTGAGCTAACACTGGGCAAGCACTCTCCCGTGTCCTTTTTTTGGGGGGGGGGGGAGTGCTTCAAGATGACAGTGCCCCTGAGGAACTTGGGGAATTGAGCTGTATGCCCAAGGGAGAACAGAATGATTTGGGGTTTTTTTGTAGAGGGAGAGGTATTCTAGAGGTGGGTTTCAAAATGACCAGTACAGTGCCCCTGAGGAACTTGGGGAGATGAGCTGTATGCCCAAGGGAGAACAGAATGATATGGGGGTGTTTTGTAGAAGGAGAGGGATTTCTAGAGGAGAGGGATTTGCAGTGGAGGTGGTATGGAAGGGGAATTTCAATGGATGGGGAGGATCTGAGCATGTGAGTTCCAGGAGAGAAGGGTGTGCTTCATGCATGTGTGCTTACAGTTCTTCCTACCTGTGCAGAGCACCTGCTGCTGCTCTTGGCGGAGGAGTCTGGGCTTAGGCCATTGGCCTGCCTACCTCATTGGCAGAGGACCTGGCCTACCTGAGTTGTCCTGTCCCCGGGCAGTAGCAGAGCTGGACAAGGGTCTGTGACTACTAGGGCTCTTTCACTGAACCGTGGTGACTGGTGGTAAAGCCAGGCTGTGGAGGCAAGCCCTGGGCTCCTGCGAAACAAGGATCAATGCCCAATGTTCATCTCATCCAACTGGCTACACCTAGGAAAATGTTTAAAACGGCTTTGTCGTACCTCCACCAGTCTAGGAAATGTCTGGAGTACAGTAATGAGTCCAGACGTGCTATAATGAAACAGCCTCAACAGTGTTTAAAAACACCATGTGTTTCTCAGGAGCATGAGTCAGTGTGTTACCTAGGGGAGGGTCAGTGGGTATATTCTGTGAGAAGCAGGCCATAGGTGTTGGGCATGGGCTGTCCTTGTGGTCCTGTGCCCTTGTGTGTCTTGAAGCTCTGCAGAGGTGTCAGATTGGGGGGATGGGGCTTCATTTAGTCATTTTGCTTGGCAGAGGCTCTAGGAGTGAATACGTTTAAGGCTCTTGATGGACATATTGCCAAACTGCTCTCCTGACAGGCAGGCCAGCTCGCACCCCAGTGCCCGCTTCTACCCAGTCAGGCCGAGTCTGGGCCGCACAGTCTGACCTTAGCAAAAGTGAGAGACAACTGGTGTCTTGTTCCAACTTGCCCTTCTATGATTACTTGTGAGGGTGAGCGTTGTTTCATGTTATATCCATTGGCCATTCTTTTGCGGAAGTTCTATTCATTCTTTGCAGTCTTCTAATGGGATTTCCAACTTTCTTCCCCTATTTTTGTCATCTGTAACAGCCTTTTATAGATTAAAGATAAAAATGTCAAATATTGTAAGTACTTCTTTCTCATTTCATTGGACTTTGATTTATCTTAGTAGGTTTCTTTTTTTTTTTTACTTATAGTTTAGTTTTTATGTAGTTACAGTTCAGTTTCTTCCTCTGGATTTAAGCTCAGAAAGTCTCTCTACCCCGAGATTAGATAAGCAGTCATTTGTTCTTTCTTCAGGTTACTTTAAGATTTCAGTTTTAACATTCTGTAATCTACGTGGCTGGATTTTGGGTTCTGACTAGCCCTCGGCCATGCTGGTATTCCAAAGGCCCAGCCCCATTTGTTGAATGGCTGCTCTCCTGCCCTGCTGTCCCACCCGCCTGCCCCTGGTCTCTCCAGGAATCATGTTTGTGCAAGAGGAGGCCCTGGCCAGCAGCCTCTCGTCCACTGACAGTCTTAATCCTGAGGACCGGCCCATTGCCCGGGGATGCTCTGATTCCTTGGAGTCCATCCCTGCCGGACAGGTAATGCCTACCTCTGCATCCTGCTTCTGGGGATTGGTTACCTCTGTGCCAATGCTTGTCTAAGGCTATCTGGAATTAGAAGGTAGCCTGACTAGAGCAAATGCTGCCAGTGCTTGGTATACTCTCTGCTTTGTGGTTAAGGGTCTATGTTCAGCCGCCCGCTCCCTTCCTCCTCTTTCCTCCCTCCGCCAATGGGAACAGGCAGTTCTCTCTCACTGGGCCCTGGGGGGACAAAGCCAGATGACCTTTAGCCCATGTGAGTGGATTCCCCTGGGGAAAGCAATTCGGGGGCGGGGTGGCTTGTTTGGGTTCCAAATGCATCAGGAAGAGTTTCTCCCCTGCTGCCTGGCACCCCTGGGCCATTCTGCCCATTCCTGCATGTCACCCTGGTAGTTTGGGACACAGTATGACTCTGGCACCTTCTCTGTGGCTGCTGCTGAGGGTTCCGGAGCTTCTTCATGTGTCCTGGGAAGAGAGGAGGAAGGCAAGTGTGGGGTGAGTGGCTCATTTGCTGTGTGCGTGGGGAGTGTGCTTGGTACCTGGGCCTCCCTCCAGCCCCATCTCTGTTCAATAACACAGGGTCATGGTTGTGTGACCCTGGGGCAGTTTGCAGAGTTCTCATTCTGTCTCAGCACTCCATAACACTCTCTCCTTTCACCTTCCCCGGGGTCACACAGTAGGAAGGAAGCTTCCTAAGCTTAGGTGTTCCCCATTGCCCAGAAATCATTGGAAGGGCCTTGCCAGGTGCTATGCAGCCTCTGTTCATTGTGTCCTCTACTGGCCAGTTACCAAGTTGGTAGACTGTCCACGTGGACCCTCTGAGGTGGCATAGGGAGCACTTAGGTGCCAGACCCAGAGGTATAAACTGAACCGCAGAGTGGCAAGAGGCTCTGGCCCAGGGATTGGGAGCGTGGGCTGGGAGTAGACAGACAGATGGGAATCAGTGCTGCTGGGCACTGACAGGATAATTGTAGGGGTCTCTCTGCCTCCAGGCCCTAGAATCCACCCCAGAGTAGAGAGTGGGATGGTGAGGAACTTACTGCAGGGCAGTGAAGGAGGACAGGTGGGGTACCTGGCTCAAGGTCCAGTACCTGCTAGATGTCAGGGAATGAGTATAGCAGGTTGGGGCTGACCACATTCCCTTCTCTGTCAGGCACCTTCCGATGATTTAAGGGACGTATCCGGAGCTGTTGGTGGCACAAGGTAAAGAAGGAGTTAAGAAGGCATTCTGGGCCTTCTGTCAGCTATGGGGTAGTGATAACCAGTTAGATTTTGTTAAAAATCTATTCACAGAATTTCTCCAGACTGTCTCTTTTAAAATAAATAAACACATGAGATGGGCTCTGGTCTGCTTCTAAATTCTAATTTCTAAACTTTGTGTGATCCATGTTATCCTACACTAGGGGTCAGATCAAGGCTGGTTTGGTCCATAGCCTATGAGCTAAGAATGATTATTCATTCTTAAAGAGCTGCTTAAAAAAAAAAGATGTGGGTGGGGCCTAAAGTATTCGCTCCCTGACCCTTTGTGGAGGAGGTTTCCCAGCCCTGTTGTACTCATATTTTTTCATGAGGGCAGTGGTGGCCAAGAGGAGCTTGAATTTAAATGTGAAGGTTCTAAGATCCCCCCTGCCATGGGGTGCCTCCAAAGGAAACTGTTGTCAACAAGTTAATGAGTTAATGCCCTTGAGCACTCATTGCCTTTGGAGCTCACGGCCAGCGTCTGAATGACTGCAAAGTCTTTATGATGCTTTTGTTGGGGGAGCCTGTGTGGTGTGAGTAGGACTCTGCTGGACACCTGTCATTAGAGCCCTGGGCATGTGGACTCTGATGAAATTGGCAGCTCTAGCCTTCTAGAACTTTGGCTCCCTAACAGGGAACTTGTCCTAGGAATAGACACGGCTGTTTAGGAGTCTTGGGAGACCCATGAGTTCAGGTTCCATGGAACCAGGATGCAGCAGCAGGCCCTAGACTTGGGAGGTGGGATGTCCCAGACCAGCATGTCATTGAAATGGCTTTTCTCATAGCACAGAGCATGTGGAGCCTGAGGTCCAGGTGGTGCCTGGCTCTGGCCAGATCATCTTTCTACCCTTCACCTGCATTGGCTACACAGCCACCAACCAGGACTTCATCCAGCGCCTCAGCACACTCATCCGGCAGGCCATCGAGCGGCAGCTGCCTGCCTGGATCGAGGCTGCCAATCAACGGGAGGAGGGCCAAGGCGAGCAAGGCGAGGATGACGAGGAGGAGGAGGATGTTGCTGAGAACCGCTACTTTGAAATGGGACCCCCAGACCTGGAGGAAGAAGAGGAGGGAGGCCGGGGAGAGGAGGAGGAGGAAGAGGAGGGTGAGGAGGAGCGCCTGGCCCTGGAGTGGGCCCTGGGTGCAGATGAGGACTTCCTGCTGGAGCACATTCGCATCCTCAAAGTGCTGTGGTGCTTCCTGATCCATGTGCAGGGTAGCATCCGCCAGTTTGCTGCCTGCCTTGTTCTCACTGACTTTGGCATCGCTGTTTTCGAGATCCCGCACCAGGAGTCAAGGGGCAGCAGCCAGCACATCCTCTCATCCCTGCGCTTCGTCTTCTGCTTCCCACATGGCGACCTCACTGAGTTCGGCTTCCTCATGCCGGAGCTGTGTCTGGTGCTCAAGGTGCGGCACAGCGAGAACACACTTTTCATCATCTCGGATGCCGCCAACCTGCATGAGTTCCATGTCGACCTGCGCTCGTGCTTTGCCCCGCAGCACATGGCCATGTTGTGCAGCCCCGTGCTCTATGGCAGCCACACCAGCCTGCAGGAGTTCCTCCGCCAGCTGCTCACCTTCTACAAGGTGGCAGGTGGCTGCCAGGAGCGCAGCCAGGGCTGCTTCCCTGTCTACCTGGTCTACAGCGACAAGCGGATGGTGCAGACAGCAGCTGGGGACTACTCAGGCAACATTGAGTGGGCCAGCTGCACGCTCTGCTCAGCAGTGCGGCACTCCTGCTGTGCACCCTCTGAGGCCGTCAAGTCTGCCACTATCCCCTATTGGCTGCTACTCACACCCCAGCACCTCAACGTCATCAAGGCTGACTTCAACCCCATGCCCAACCGTGGCACCCACAACTGTCGCAACCGCAACAGCTTCAAGCTTAGCCGCGTACCACTCTCCACTGTGCTGCTGGACCCCACACGCAGCTGCACCCAGCCTCGTGGCGCCTTTGCTGACGGCCATGTGCTGGAGCTGCTCGTGGGCTACCGCTTTGTCACCGCCATCTTTGTGCTGCCCCATGAGAAGTTTCACTTCCTGCGCATCTACAACCAGCTGCGGGCCTCTCTGCAGGACCTGAAGACTGTAGTCATCGCCAAGACCCCTGTGACTGGGGACCAGTCCCAGAGCCGCCTTGTGGATGGCCAGCTTGCTAAGGGCAGGGCCAGGTGAGACTAAACACAGGCTTATGGAGCTGGAGGCATGGGGCTTGTTATGTGCCCAGAGAGTTCACATCTCTGTATGTGAGACTACTTACCCCAGTGCACATCTCTGAGCACCTGCAATGTGTGAGTGGGTCCAGGGTGAGCCTAGTTCCTCAGCTGCTCCTCAGCTCCTGACCACCCTCATCAGTGTCCTTGACTCCCTTGAGCTTGGGGCTGGGTTGCTGTTTCTCTCTGAGGGCTTCACAAGGACAGGCTGGATCACTGGGCTCTTGCCACCAGGGCAGGCCAAGGGGACTGCTGCCACTTTTTCTGGACCTTTCTACTCTGCTCCGCTGGGTCCAGGCATCTCTCATTGCCCCTTCCCCTCAAGGACTCACAGTGCAGTGGCTGGCTCTGTGGTCTGGTAGACTGTTTTCAGGCACTACCCGCTTCTGACTCCCAGTTCCATGCCTTCCCCTTTTGGGAGCCTCACACCCCTTCTCGGGAAGACCTGGGTGGCTGACGGGTCCTCTCTGCATGTAATTTGGGAAATGCCTTCCAAAGGAACTTGTTGGCTGAGAGCAGCAAGGTCTAAGTGTGTGAGCTGGGTGGTCACCTGATGCAAAGCTTCTTTTCTTCTGGGAGAAGACTGAGGCACAGAGAAGGAAGGAGTAGCGGCCCCGCCTGTTCTTTTTCTCCTTTCTACCCTGTTCCTGCCCCCTGAACCTGGCTTTCCCTGGGCTTCCCTCCCCAGGTTTCCCTGAGGGCTGCCTGGGGCTAGGAGTAGAGGGAGCCCACTAAGGAGCATGGTCATACCCACAGTTCACCCATACCTGGGGCTCAAGGGGCCTGTGCCCTTGAGTGTGCCCCTGTCTCCTTTTACTGCTCCCTGGCTTCACATGTGCTGGGGCTTCCCCAACCTGAGCAAGAAATCCTTCTATTTGTCATACTTCTGTTCCCTGAGACACAGTCTAGCTCACTTTCTCTTCTGTCCTCACCCCAGCATCTCATGAGACCTGTCTTCTCCCTCCAGCCCAGCCCCCCAGCTAATGTTCCCAGAGGGCTTCTAACCTCTTTGGTGAATCAGGTGACTCTTATGTCCAGCTCAAGTCTCATGCCCTCTGTAGAGACCCCTGATGCTTCTAGGTGCTGGAGAACAGCTTGTGCCCTGCATAGCTGTCTCCCCATCTCCCTACCCCTGTGCTGAGGCTTTGGGTGGTAACACCTGGTCTCCATTTCCCTGCCACCCCCGAGGCTGGCTGGAACCTATCCACACTGGGGACTCCCTGCAGAAAGCAGGCACCCTGCTTCCTCCTTGCAGACGTATCTCTGTCCCAGGACAACAGGAAGACAACACACCGGCTTCTTAGGGGCATGTGGCCCAGTTCAAGATCAGATCCCTAGGGATCTTACTTGATAGCTGGACTGCCCAGTTGAGAGGACAGTGTCCAAAGGACTTCCTCAGCATGGGCCACAGGCACATAGGCACATACATAGGCTGCTTGCAGGGGTCCCCCAGACTCCATGAGCTTTAAATGTTCTGAGAATTGTTTGACCAATGTTCTCTGGGAACATTGAAAACTTAATGTGGCCACATGCAGTGGTGGCTGGATGAGGGGAGAGCCTGACCTATCTCAGGAGGACCCAAAGACACACTGAGGGACAGTTTTTTGAGTTTTTGGTTCTCACCTCTACATGCGCCCGTGTCCCAGCCCTGGGCACGTGGGTTTGTCCTCTGGACTCTGGCATTTCTGACACTTCTAATTCCTTCCCAAAATAAGTTTTTAGTTATGGGTCACATATGGCTGGCTGTCCAAGCCCCAGAGTACCGAATGGCTTATCCTGGCCCCATCTGCCCATCTCCCGCCCAAGAGAAAAGGCCTGGGCACTTTCCCTTCTGCTGTTTTGTCTTCTCATAGGGAACCTGGTGATGAAATCCCAAGACCCCAGAGATGGCTTGTGGTACATGTGTTCCCCTCACACTTTGAGGTTGCAGATGTCAATATGAATCTCCATTTGGGGTCCGCATGTTAATATGGTGTTTCTTGGGGGATTGGGAGATGCAGCAATGACCAGCATCTTCAGGAGGCCCTGACAGAGGCTCCAGCCCCAGCCCTAGCCCCAGTGGAGGCGTCGGTCCCGACCCCCGTGGAGGTCCCTGCTCTGGACCGGGCAGAAGCCTCAGCCCCAGAGGAGACCCTAGCAGAGACCCCAGCTCCAGCCCCAGCGGAGGCCTCGATGCCAGCTTTGGTTCCAGTGGAGACTCCAGCAGAGGCCTTAACGCCAGTGGCAACTTCAGCCCCAGCGGAGGCCCTGGCACAAACGGAGGCCTCCACCCAGTATCCAAGCGAGCACCTGATCCAGTCCACCTCGGAGGAGAATCAGATCCCTTCGCACTTGCCCGCCTGCCCGTCACTCCGGCACATTGCCAGCCTGCGGGGGAGAGCCATCATCGAGTTCTTCCACAGCAGCATTGCTGAGGTAGGGGCTGGGCACTGGTCTAGCTGGCTGGCACTGGTGTGGAGAAAGGCAGCATAGTTGGTCCTGGGGGCTGTGGCAGAGCTTGTGTTGGGGTCAGCCTCAGGTTCTCCAACTTCTCTGTGCTGACTTTTTCCCCCAGCTTCAGCTGGTGCAGCTTTGAGGGTCTGGGTAGGGAGGTCTTGGGCTGCCCTTCCCTTGTCAGTTTTCTCCCCCTGTGGCCACTCCTGTCCTTGGGCCCCAGGCAGACCCTGCTGTACACCCATCTCCCACCCCTCACTTCCTCTCTGTTTCCAAGTTTATTAATCTATTGACTAGGTACGATGACGTTCCTGCCTCTCCCTGTCCAAGGCTGTAGGCATGTCACCAGGGCAGTGGGGCTAATAGAGAGGGTACGCTGCTCTCCTGCAGGCTCAAACCTGCCCCCTTTGTGTCCAGGTGGAAAATGAAGAGCTGAGGCACCTCATGTGGTCCTCAGTGGTGTTCTACCAGACCCCGGGGCTGGAAGTGACCGCCTGCATGCTGCTTTCCACCAAGGCCGTGTACTTTGTGCTGCACGACGGCCTCCGCCGCTACTTCTCAGAGCCACTGCAGGGTAAGCACCAGGGCCTGCTGGCACCTGGGAACTTGGAGCCCGTGCCTAAGGAGGCAGGCTGGGCTCTGTCTCTAGAGCCAGTTGTATGCCATCAGGCAGCAGTGATTTGGCCGCACTGGACTGAGAATTCTTTATCTGAGAAAGTAGGAGTTAAAACAACTAACTTCCCACCTGATACTGTCATGAGGGACCTAAGACTAGGCATGAAAGAACCCAGCCAGGGTCCAGCAATCATGTGGGAACTAGCCATGATGAGGGATTGAGCAGCTTCTGCCCCATGGGGTCTCAGTGGAAGACTCCTGTCAACTCCACAGCCAGGCGCAGCTCATACCCTAGAATGCATTGCTCGCGAGGCCTTGTATGCATAGAGGGTGGTGGTGGCTCTTCTGCAGGTCCGGCCAGCCCAGGGGACCCATTCTTGCTGGATGCAGCTATGCACCCCTCATGCTCTCTGCACAGCCACCACCACCCTTGGTCCCTTTTTCTCTATCACAGATTTCTGGCATCAGAAAAACACTGACTACAACAACAGTCCCTTTCACATCTCTCAGTGCTTTGTTTTAAAACTCAGCGACCTACAAACAGTCAACGTTGGGCTTTTTGACCAGTATTTCCGGCTGACGGGTGAGTGACCACTGTGCTTTGTCCTATTTTAGGTGAAGGCCAGTGTTACCAGTGGGCTTCCACCTTTCATATGTGGGTACATTATCACAGACAGAGTCATCTCTCTGTTCATAAGTTATTTCACCAGAGTGGGAGGAAGCAGCTTTAGGAACTGCTGAGAGTGCAGAACTTACCCCACAGGGCTTGGGGCGGCGGGGGCGGCCAGAGGCAGCAAAATGCCGGGGCAGCACTGGGAGGGCAGGCAGAGTGGGCCCTGGGCTTAAGGGCAGGATGTTTCTGACTCATACTTCCTGAAGAGAGAAAGCTAAGCTATTTCCCTAATTCCTGTATCCCCTTCCAGAAAAATGTCACAGCCCTTCCGGCCTGAGAAATGGCCGTGTCCCCAGGCTCCGTGATGCTTTCCCACATGGGCCTTTCTGGCCCTGGCTCTATGGTCTTTAGGTCCAGGCTGACCTGATAGAGACTAGAGATGTTTCCAGGGCAGGAACCGGGCTGCTTGCAACCAATACCAGCCCCTTCTCCCACAGGCTCCTCCCCGATGCAAGTGGTGACATGCTTGACTCGGGACAGCTACCTGACACACTGCTTCCTCCAGCACCTCATGGCCGTGCTCTCCTCCCTGGAACGCACACCCTCGCCTGAGCCTGTCGACAAGGACTTCTACTCTGAGTTTGGGAACAAGACTACAGGTACCCCAACCCAGCTCAGGCTGTAGGCAGGCCATCTGGGCCGACGTCATGAGCCTTGCCAACCCCGAGGGCCACAGCAGGCCCCAGAGCACCTCTCTGCCTCTGTCTCTCTTTTTTCTCTCTTGTCCTGCTTAGCCAGCTAAGGTTTTACATGGGCTTTGTCATGGCAGAGTCTCTGTCCCAGCAAACCCGCAACCATCTGGCAGATGCACCCCAGGTGTCTGCTCTGCTCTGGGCTGCTGGCTTGTGGGTCTCTTCCTGGGCAGGGGGACTCGGCATACTCTCTCCCACCTATGACACATAGCTCATCCTGCCATCTCTGGGTGGCTTAGGGCTGCTGGCACTCCCAGCCCCACCACAGGCCAATTCCAGGCTATAGCCCTGGCGGGGGTCTCTCTGCAGGGAAGATGGAGAACTATGAGCTGATCCACTCAAGCCGCGTCAAGTTCACCTACCCCAGCGAGGAGGAGATTGGGGACCTAACGTTCATCGTGGCCCAGAAGATGGCTGACCCAGAGAGGGCACCAGCCCTCAGCATCCTGCTGTATGTGCAGGCCTTCCAGGTGGGCACACCGCCACCTGGGCGCTGTAGGGGCATGCTGCGCCCCAAAACGCTCCTGCTCACCAGCGCCGAGATCTTCCTCCTGGACGAGGACTTCGTCCACTATCCACTGCCTGAGTTTGCCAAAGAGCCGCCACAGAGAGACCGGTACCGGCTAGATGATGGCCGCCGTGTCCGGGACCTGGACCGTGTGCTCATGGGCTACCAGACCTACCCTCAGGCTCTTACCCTTGTTTTTGATGATGTGCAGGGCCACGACCTCATGGGCAACGTCACCATGGATCACTTTGGGGAGGTACCAGGTGGCCTAGCCAGAGCTGGCCAGGGCCGTGAAGTCCAGTGGCAAGTGTTTGTCCCCAGTGCTGAGAGCCGTGAGAAGCTCATCTCGCTCTTGGCCCGCCAGTGGGAGGCCCTTTGTGGCCGGGAGCTGCCCGTTGAGCTCACTGGCTAACCCAGGCCGCAGCCAGCTCTTGCTGCCCTCCATGTCCAGGCTAGTGTCTGCTCAGTGCAGAGAAGCAGGCTCCCTTCATTATTTTTAATATGATTTCTCCTCCCTTTTGGTACCTTCATTTGACTTCCTCCCAGAAAATATGAACATTACATGTCCAGTTGATTCTTTCTAATTCTGAGAGTGAAAGTGTCAGTCCCTCCAGGGCCTCTGTGTGCCATTATCCTCCCATGCATCTGTTAGCTGCCCCTGGTGCAGCGTGGCTGGGCACAGCAGTGTTGTGTCTTCTGTCATAGAACTGTTGTTAACACATCGTGTCATGGGTTCTTTCTTGAAATGTCAAGTCCAGTCTTGTTGCTGTTGCTGTCATTGTGGGCATTTGCTGCTAATCATGAAGCTGGCAGCAAAACGCACATTGGAAGTTCCCACCCTGTGCAGTTTTCCAAAGTGGAGGCTTCTCCTGGTCCAGACAAGTGGGAGAGCCCCGTCGGGGGCAGGGCTCCCCCGGCCTTGGAGCTAAAAGGGATGGGGACACAGGACCTAGAGCTGCCAGCACCAAGTGTGATTCCTGTTGCCTATTTTCTCTAGTCCAATAAAGTGGCGTTTGACGCAGTCTGAGTCTTTTATTTCCATGGCCACTAGGGTCCCCCCAGTAGGGCACTGGTCTAGGACAGTTGACCTGAGGGAAAAAGGGTGCCCTAGAGACACTGGAACATGAGGTATTGGGGAGAAAGAAAGGAGAGAGGAGAGGAGGGGATGAAGGGCAAAGGTATAGGCTCTCCCAGGACCAGATGCTAGATGGATGGCCTTAGGACTGGGCCATACTGGTCTGTAGCTAAACCATGAGCTTCAGGGCAGACATGAGTGTAGATAACTCTGGGGCAAACCTGACTTCTAGCTCATTGTTTCTGCCCCCTGCTGATCTGGAATGTCACACGTGGGCCCAGCCCCACCAAAGGCTACACAGCCTGTTATGAGAGTGTGGCCTAGAGTCTGGGGTCCTTCATCATGTGAGGTCTGGGGGTGAGTAGGTCTCACCAAGATGGTTGTAGCAGGAAGGCCTGTGGGCAGGTAGCCCAGGTATAGATGGTGGAGTGCCCATCTGTGTCTGTGTTGTGTCCTGAGAAATGGGGATTACCTCAGGGAGCCCTGCATTAATCAGTATTGGGCTCTTACCCTTGTTTGGGGGGAGCGACTAAGGGTAAGGTCTCCCCACTGTATTCCCCCAGCCAGATCAGAGGTAGAATGTGGGACTTCTTTGGGACCCAGCCCCTGTGCCCGACCCTTCCTCAACCTATTTCTACCCCCAGAGCAGGGCCCTTAAGCCCCACCCACTTCCCTCATCCTGGCCCAATCAGGAGCCTCATTCCCCAAAGCATGGGGCCATTTGGTCAAAATTGGGGAGGATAGTGGCCAACCCAGCTCCCAGGCCTGCTTCTGCTCCTCTGTTTTCCCTGGGTGCCAGTGGGGTAGGGATCCTGACCTAGAGGACCCATGGGCCTCAGACTAGGGGTGGGTGGGGAGTGACTAAGGGTAAGGTCTCCCCACTGTACGCCCCCGCAGCCAGATCAGTGGCCAGTGCAACTGCCCCAGGTGCTGGTAGGGGGCTGTCTCGCCTACTGAGGAGGAGGAGGAGGAGGAGGAGGAGGGGCAGATGACAAGGCTTCCCCCAACCAGGCCATTATCTAAGGTATTTACAAATGGCCACCTGTCTTCATCTCAGTCTCCTGTAAACAGGACAGTGACAACCAGAGGCAGTTTGCACCACACCCAGGCCTGGCACACGGAGGCCTCACCACCTAGGCTAACACTGTTCCAGTCCCCACAGCCCAACATGTAACAGCTGATTCAGCTGGGTCCAACAAGGACTTGACCTACTGGGGGGAGGCATTGCAGGCAACAGCTCTGGGATTGGATCTTAACATCGGTTAGCTGAGCAACATTACACAAGTTACTTAGCCCCCTCTGAGCCTCAGTTTCCCCACCAGTAACGGGTAATAAAAGTAGCCACCTTCATTCATTCATGCATTCATTTATTTTTTCCACAAATCTTTATTGAGCATCTACTGTGTGAACCAGCCAGACACTGTCCATGTTTTCCCATAGCTGACATTCCAGCAGTGGACAGAAAATAATTAAACCAGGGTCAACTGGTGCCTCGCTCTATAAGGAGATGAAGGCCAGTGACCTTTGACCTGAGACTGGACGTTGTGGTAAGTCCCTGTGGGAGGATCTGGGGTGACAGTAACACCAAGAGAGTTGCTTAATATGTCTGGGGCAGGATGAGGGGGAGCAGCAACAAGGTCAGAGAGGCCAGCCTGAGCGGACAGGGGCGTGGAATGCAGTAGAAGCCACAGTACAGGGCTCCTGAGTAGGGAACAGATGAAGCAGAAGGGAGGGGCACTGGCTGCAGGGAAAGCACTGAGGAGGCCCCTGGGGAGAGAAGGGAGGCATAGGGACAAGGTCAGTGGCTGGACCAGTCAGAGAGATAGCTGGAGCAGGTGAGAGGAGGAGCGGCCCACTGTGTTGTCCACTTAGCACAGAGCCTAACAGGGAGTCAGAGGCCTGCAAGTGCCCCCAGCAGTTGAAAAGATCAAGGTGAACGGATCTGATTCAGGAGCTGCCCTACCCTCAACACCTAGAATCCCCCAGAGCCTCTGACTGAAACAAGCTGGGCTTACAGACACTTGGGGTGGGGAGTTGTGTGCATTTGCATTGGAATTTGTTTCACAGCCCCTGATAGACCCCAGGCTTGCGGCTAATGGTGGACTTGGGTGCTGTGATACCAGGAGGAGAGTCCTGGGCCAGGAAGCTCCAAGCAGGGCCTAAGCCATCCATGCGAGGGTCAGTGGCCAGCACCTTCCCTTCCGCCTGCAGGCTGCTGATAGGCAGGAGGAAATCCTGGCGGGTTCCTGTGGGGGTGAGCTGGCGGGGCCTCCAGCCTGCTTTTAAAGCGAGTGCCCGCCCCATCCCGCTTGCCTGCCCTGTTCCTGCCTTCCAGAGCTCATTCCCCACACAGGCTACCCTGACTCTGTCCTGGACAGTGTGCCCGCCAGCTGCCACCGGCCATGGCAGGGCCCCAGGGCCACCTCCTGCTCTGCCTCTTGGTCTTCTACCTAGCAGGCTCCAGCATCCTCGTGGGGCAGAAGGTGAGTGTGAGCCAGTTGCAGGGGGACATGGTGTCCAGGCTCTGCTAGTTAGTGGTGGGAGCAGGGAGGGAGTGTACACAGATTAGCACAGGTCTGGAGACACAAAAGTCAGGGTACCAGTGTGACCTTCCCTGAGCAGGAACAGAGGCCAGGCTGTTGTGTCTACCTCCCCAGGCTGAGGAGTGTATGTGGCTACATGGAGTAGCAGGGGTAGCAGCCTGACCTTCTGAGGAGATGCCCAGCCAGCCAGCATGTGGTGTGGTGTGGTGTGCTGTGGTGTGGTACGCTGTGATGTGCTGTGATGTGCTGTGGGCAGCTTCCCCCCGGTCTCCCCAGCCTTAGGGTGAGAGGTACAGAGTCAGGCCCATCTTCCTGCTCTCCCAGTCCTGACTGAGGCCTGGTTTCTATGTGGCCTCGGTCTGGAGATTGGAGATTTCATTACCCCCAACCCTCTCAGGGATGACAAAATGAGAGACTCATGTGACGTGTGTGTGTGTGTGCTGGGTGTGTGTGTGTGTGTGTGTGCGCGCGCACGCATGCACGCGCATGTGTGCCAATGCCCAGCCCCAAGAGTGCCCAGAAGCAAAATGAGGTCTACTGACCCCAGTCCCTCTGGGTAAACAGTAGTCAACGATGACACCCTCAAGCCTAAGAGCTGCCATTTATCAAGTGCACAGCGCACATCTGGCACTATCCCCTCAAATCCTCACAGCCCCTGGGCAATGGGTCCTGTTGTTCTCCACCTGAGGAAGCCAAGGCCCAAGGCTGGTGGAAACAGGTCAGTCCAGCTCTGGAGCTGTGCTCCAGACCACCACCTGCAATTCCCCGTCCAGCCAGGTGGGAGGAGCAGAATGATCTTTGTATGCGGTCATCAGGTCCATGTGCGCGAGCCCCATCCAGACCACCTCTCTGTGGGCGCACCCAGGCCCTACAGTAGAGACATTGTCTCCACCAGAGTTTTTGGAAGAGCCTCCCACCCTGAGTATGGAGATAGAGTCATCTGGCTGGGGCCTGCCTCCACATGAGAGACTCTCCCCTGTGAGGCCAAGTTCATCTGATTCTTGGGGCAGGTGCTGCTGTCCCCATATCACTAACAGGCAGCTGAGATCCAGAGAGAGACAGGACTTGCCCAGAATCCCACTGCCAAGCAGAACGAAAACAGGAACCCAGGCACCCTGTTATCACTGGGCTTTTTGTCTTTGTGGTCCCTCAGAGAAGGGGCATGGAAAGGGACCTCACCAGCTTCAGGGCCAGGTCAGGACTGAGCATGGGCAGATCTGAGGCTGAAAAGGAGACAGTGATGGTAGAAGAGCCAAGGGTTACAGGCCGTTCCTGTAGGTTAGTTCCTGTTCACCCCTGCTTCAGTTTCCCCGTGCGTACAGTGCAAGGGAATTCACAGGCCTTTCTACTTCCTCATGTTCTGGGAACAAGGATCAGTGAGGGGCTTCAGGCTGGGATTTTTTCCTTGTCAGAGACTACCTCTAAGCCTGAGCTCGGGAGCTTGAGCTCAGCCAGTCTGGGTCAGGAAAGAGGGTCCAAGGGGTTCTTGTGTACAGGGACACACCAGTGCTGGCCTCCTCTCGCACACCCTCAGTCATTCAGCCGTCCCAGCACCCCATGTAACATGAGACTCTCTGTAATTATTAGGAAATTGAGGCTCTGAGGGGAAGGGAAAACCTCTGGTTCACGTAGCCAGTGAGTGGCAGGAGCAAGACTCAAACACAGGCAGGTTCAGGTAGTAGAGGCAGGGAAGGCTTCCTGGAGGAGGGGGTTTTAGCACCTGTCCATTCAATAGCCTTTTACCAAGCACCTCCTCTGTGCTAGGAGTGTGTAGGTGCAGGTGGAGCTGGAGTTTGAAGGCAGAGGGGCATTGATCTAGTGCAAGGGAAGCAGTTTTTGGGTTCCTTCCTCTGAGGTAGTTGGGGTTTTGGGCCCTGGACCACAGCTTGGGGGAATTTCTTCCCCCTTCTTACAACAGACTCAACACCTCGTGTCTCCTCAAATTCCCTAGCAGTGTCTCTGTGAGAAGCAGACGTTGCAAAATCAGTTCTGGATTGGGGCAGGGAGTGAGGCAGCACTCGCCTGGCACAGGCAGATCCCGAGGTGCCCCCAGGAAGAAGGGAATCTGATTCAGCATTTGGCTGTAATCCAGCCTCACTCCGCCCAGCGGGACCAACAGTGAGATTGTGGGCTAGGACTGCTGATGCTTCTTCCAGGCTGCTTGGCAGAGGAGGCCTGAGTGCCTGCCTGTGGGGCGGTCCTGAAAGAAATATGATTTGGCTGCTGGCTTATCCACTTATCTCCATTTCACAGCCATTTACGAACAAGATATCCTGTGAATGAGTGTCCACCACATGACACAGGGCTCTGGCTTCCTCCCTGTGCCCGGACCTCACCCACTGCTTCATCAAAAGAGTGAGGACAGTGTGCTCCCACTCCCCTTGAGCCCTTTTCCAAGGCTGACCAACATTCTTCTAAGGGCTGGTCCTGGGCCAATGGTGAGCATGCTGGCAGCTGTGCCCAGCTGACCAGGTAGCCCTCAGGAAAGCCTGCCACCTGCAGAGCTTTTGCCCTGAGCCAGCAGCTGCCCGACTCTGGAATTACCCAACTTCCTAGATGCTCCCTGGCTCAGCAAAGACTGAGCCTGGGGTGGAGAATGAGACCACAATCCCAGCCCACAGCTCAGCCTGAGGCCGCTCACAGCTTCCCTCTTTGTAGACCGCAGAGGCATGAGCGGAAAAGGCCAAATCATAGCACAGAAAGGCCCTGGGACCCTCATATTCATCAGAAGAAAGTGTGGATCACTATTTCTCCTCTTCTCTTGCTTTGGGAGGCCACACATCTGTAACGTGTTCTAGGAAACATGTCCTGGGCTCATTCCCTTTGGACTGGTATGGTCAGCATAAGAACATCTCAGCTCTCCAGGCCGTGTCCCAAGCCCCCTAAAAACCTCTCTTCTATTAAAATGCACCTTCTCATGGCCCTTTCTCCCATTTACAACCAAGAGTTTAGCTTCCGTCCCTCCAAGGTGCAGTGCTGTAGGTTACTGGGACTTTGTTGCTATAGAGGTAGTCCCAGTGATGGTGGCCGTGCAGGAGCTATGGCAGGCCAGTGAATGGGACCCTCGGGCAGGGCTTTCTTGGCACCCTCAGGTGACAACCCCTTTTCCTGCCTACACCGCTTTTCTCCATGTAGCAGCCAGAGGGCCATTTAAAACACAAACCAAGTCGTAGGCCTGTCCCGACTCAGCCTCACCTAGATGGCCTGGCCACCAGCCCCTCTCTAGCCTCTCCTTGGCTACTTTCTGCCTCATCACACATGGTCACTTATTCCTTCCTGCTTCGTACCTTTTGTCTCTCCTATCCATTCTGCCAGGAGCACTGCTCCAGCCAAATGTCATTCCTCCTTTAGGCCCCACCTCAATTGTCGCCTCCCCCAGGAAACTTCTTGGGCCTCCAGCCTGGGTCCTCTCAGCTCCCTTACTGTCAGCATCGCTCATCCGATGATGGGCAGTGCCCCCTTGGGTCCCGGCTGGTGTGAGGCCATGGCCAAGTCTGGGCCAAGGTCTCAGGGAACATGCCTGCCGTGGCCCAAACTCAGGCAGACCCTCTCACACATGCCTGCTTACGGAGGCCAGCCTCTCGAGTCTGGGGCAGACTCCTGGGTCCCTTGGGCTTGATGAGAGGGTCATTTGGCAGCAAGGTGGGGATATGCTTAGAAGAAAGTAAGGATGGGTGCGTTTTTCTCCCAGTGTCAGCCATGTCATTTACTATTTATTTTTAAATGAAAGGCAAGAATGATCTCTAGGTGGAGAGTCCAAGTTCTAATGCCTGATTCGTATCCTATCAGTGGGTGGTTTTCAGCAAGGACCACCCACTCAAAGCTCAATTTCTTCATCTGAGTTGGCTGAGGTAGAACAAAATGGCTAGATTCTTTTAATGTCAGAAAGTATAGATTCAGACTTCTCAAAGTGCTTTCAAGGCCATGAACAGAGATATATGACTGTGGACATAGGGACATACTATGGCAGTCACAACTTGTGACAGGCAGGTTTCCCCAGTTTTAAGGGCCTTCCCTGTCCTCACTGCCTCCCCACTGAACAGGTAGAAAAACAAGGCCTGGGGAGGGCTGCTAGGCCTTGCTGTGATCAGTACAGAGTCAGGACTAGTGCAGGGTCCAGCCCCTTCACTACAAACCCCATTCGTGGCCCAGGTGCGATCCAGACACTGTGATGTGAAGACCAAGTTTGTCACTCATGTACCCTGCACCATGTGCCCTGCCGCCAAGAAGCAGGTGTGTCCCTCGGGCTGGCTTCAGGATTTCCCGAAGAAGATATCACAGGACTGCCGGTGTGGACCCCTACCCCTATCTTTGCCCACTTCTGGGAGTATCCTGTGAGGTGTCAGGGAACCAGGAAGAGCCTGGACGTCTTGGGGAGTAAGGGCAGGGACTCACTTAATCATACATCTGTTGGCTCCTCCAGTGGGGCAAAGAGAGGAAGCGGGGGAGGAATAAGAAGGTGGAGGCTAGTAGTGTTTACTGAGCACTTATGTGCCAGGTCTTGTGCTCAGCTCTGGGCTAGGCAAAGAGAGGGGAGGTGGAGTAAGAACACTGGAACCCAGCATCAGGAGGCTGGGGTGGGGCTGCTGTGTGGGAGCCTCTCTCATTGTCCTGCTCATGCTTTGTCCCCAGCTACGAGGTACAGCTGGGGGACTCTCTGTTGTCCATGAGCGGCTGCAGCCTGGAGTGCTGGAAGGACGTGGTGCAGAAGGCCTGCTGCCCTGGCTACTGGGGGTCCCAGTGCTACGGTAGGGGGTGGTGGGGTCCCACCTTGCTCCTTGCACCCCAGCCTTCGATTCCCCCTCTGCAGTATCTGCCGGCATTCCCCTTCACCTTGATCATTTAATGAACCAACATAGCTTGCCACCTGGCTCTGGCTGCTCTGGGAAGGGGCCGAGTCTGGGTCCTCCCAGAGCTGTTGGAGTCAGAGATGAATCGAGAGTTCTTGGAACACAGCTGAGTTCTGTGTGTGGGGTGGGGGGTCCACAGAGTGCCCTGGGGGGGCAGAGACCCCATGCAACGGCCATGGGACCTGCCTGGATGGCATAGACAGGAACGGGACCTGCATCTGCCAGGTAAGGGCCGGGCAGGCTGGGGTGGGAGACATTGGAGGGGCTGCACTGACTGGGCATATTTTTCCACCAGGAAAACTTTAGTGGCTCAGCTTGCCAGGAGTGCCAAGACTCCAACCGGTATGGGCCTGACTGCCAGTCAGGTGAGCACTGGCAGGGCAGGAAGGCAAGGCCAATGTCTACCTGGGGTCCTGTAGACACTCAGTCCCTGCAACCAGCCCCCGCCAGCTTCCCTCCCAGCCCCCCAGCCTTGCATTTCTTCTCTAGAGTCACAAAATTTTTTTCATCATACCCCTATCCCCTCCACTTGCTGTTCTTGGAGGCCTCCTCCAGGAAGCCCTCCCTGAACTCCTAGGCTGGGCCAGGTGCCTCCCTGGGCTCCCACTACCACTGTGGCCCTGCATCACAGCTCTGGACTCCTGAAGTTGTACCTGTTGGAGCTGAGTTCTGGAAATGCAGAGGGCAGAGACTCAATGTCCCTGCGTGTCCCTGGTTTACACCCAGAGGCTAGGGCCCCACCTGTTCCTATGTATTCCTCCCAGTGTGCAGCTGTGTGCACGGTGTGTGCAGTCGTGGGCCACTTGGGGATGGAAGCTGCCTGTGCTTTGCTGGATACACTGGACCCCGCTGTGACCAAGGTGAGCAGTGCTGCTGGGATTGCTTGGGCAGCGGGTTCTAGGTGGCCAGAACAGGAGAGGTCAACTAGGTGAGGGATGGAGCCTGAGCCTTAGCAGGACCTCTGCCCGCAGCCTAATTTCTTTCTAAGTAAGAGAGGCACACAACTGGTCAGGGGGAAGGGGAGGTCTCATCTGAGACCTCAACTGTCCAGAACCCAAGAAAGGGCGGGGCCTTTGCCAGAGTTACACAGCAGAGCACATATGCTCCTGTGTTCCTCCCTAACCAGGGGCTTCAGCCATTGTAATGCTTTCCCTTCTCCACTCAGAGCTGCCTGTGTGCCAGGCCCTGAACTGTCCCCAGAACTCCCAGTGCTCTACAGAGGCCCCCACCTGCAGCTGCCTGCCTGGCCATACCCAGGAGGGCCGCGAAT